TAGAGGATGGGTTTCGTCATAGGACACACTCTCAGAGCAGACAACGTAAGGTTCAGTATTAGGCATTTCTGTTCTTAAACATTTCTTCGCTATTTCTGCCCAAGACATTTCTCACTGGTAAACGTCCCTCCTTGGTCGCCTGCCTTCTGCAGCCCTGCAGGCTGTCTCTCTCCAGGGCCACCCCTCTTCCTCTTACACAGTTTTATGCTCCGCTTCCCTCCTCTCTCCTCCCATCCTCGATCTACATATTTCACAGCTAGCTTTCCACAGCCAGACATTTCTTGCCCTGGGGAATTATCTACCAGTTTTTAAGCCACCATTAAAAGAAGAAAAATCCCAGTGCCCTGGAGTCTTGGCAGCAACGCTCCACCTTCCGGAGGCGAACCAGAAGTCATGTCCTGTCTTGAAAGACAGCGCCACCTACTGCCCACCAGGAGACAACTGCAGAAAACAGTTGAATGACCCTGTCCATTGCCTGTTCTGGGCAGGGTGGCAGATAATCCAGGTAAGAATAATTAGAAGGCACATTGAACTTGCGGTGGTGATGGGACATTTAAGAATGCACAAAAGTTTAAACTAATAGGGATATCAAGACTAGGATGGCATCGGCCTCAAGGAGGCTACAGGATCTGCATAGTGCTAACAACTGTGCAGAGGTAGAATGGGAATCTGAATCCGGCCTCTCCACCTGTGAAGTCCACATAGTTCCACATTGCTGCACTAGGATGGAGTAGATTTCCTTTCATACATCAGCAAATAAGTGAGAGAGAACCCAGGAGCAAGTTGGGAGAATTTCAAGGAGGAGACTGCTGATGATCTAACGTTTGAGTCATCAGTTTGGATGTGAACCAAGAAAATATCGCTGGGATTTGCGTTTAATACTTAGTTGGAGACCTTTAGAGAGTGGTTTAAGGTGCCCAGCCCTGGGCTAGGTGTAGGAGAGTATGAAAAGATGGAAAGATATAGTCCTATATCTCATAGAGCTAAATATGAACCAAAGCCAGGGAAGCTGGCAAAAATCAAATGGTAATAAATTAGACAGTGATTTTAAAAAGAGAGATACATATGGACCTTCAGGTCCCTCTGACACCTTTGTGCAAATTAGGATGGATCCGTTCACTTCCTTGGGGCCACTGCTGCCCTGAGCCAGAGCCCTCAGCTTGGCAAGCAACCTGTGGGGTAGGTCTTAGCCCCCGTTTATCAGAATGAAGACTGACTTGTTAGGAAAGTTCAATTCAGGAAACTGGGACTTGAACTGAGCTTCCACTGATGTGAAGAGTTTGGAACAGCTGTGAGAAAGGGGTAGGAGGTAGGTCTTTTCTGCTGGGAAATGTCAAAACAGAGGCAATTAAGAGTCATAAAGGAGAAGGAGAAGACAAAAATCTCCTGACTCTTGTCTCCAATATTTTTTAAGTAGGAGAAATTAAGTAAGATCACTCCTTTAAAACAGTTATTGAGCATCTAATATATGCAAGGAGCTATGCTGAATAGACTGACTCAGGGAAATAAGAACCCTGACAATTGCACATTGGTTTGTAGTTTATGAAGCACATCCATTTCCAGCTATGACATTTCATCCACTTTCCTGTAAAGAGGCTGAAGTTGTGGCTGCTCCTGAACATGAAGCTACAAATCTCTACAATTAGGATCATAATCCATATTCTTTGACTAGTTCAGAATTCCTTTTATTCTGACCACTGATCCTTTCTTTTCTTTAACATTTTTAAATTTAAGTAATTGTTTAGCTAGATGGCACATTTCCCAGCTCAAAATTTTAAAAACACAGAGGAAAGTCTCCCTCCTGCCCCTGGTTTCCAGACATCTAGTTTCTCTCTTCAGAAGCAATCTTTACTAGTTTATTGATGTATCCTTCCAGAGATATTCTTTCGATAAAAAGCAAATAAGAATGTTATTTATTCTTCCCCCATTTATGCAAATAATACCATATTGCACACACTGTTCTGTATCTTGCTTTTTTTGTTTGTTTGTTTGTTTGAGACAGTGTCTGTCACCCAGGCTGGAGTGCAGTGGCGTGATCTCGGCTCACTACAACCTCTGCCCCCCAGGTTCAAGTAATTCTTCTGCCTCAGCCTCCTGAGTAGCTGGGATTACAGGCATGCGCCACCACACCTGGCTATTTTTTGTATTTTTAGTAGAGATGGGGTTTCACCATTTGGCCAGGCTTGTCTTGAACTCCTGACCTCATGATCCACCCACCTCAGCCTCCCAAAGTGCTGGGATTACAGGTGTGAGCCACTGCACCCAGCCTGCACCTCGCTTTTAAATGTATTTTTATTTTTTTTAATTCAGTAATCTATGTGTCCAAAGCATAAATCAGGAGTGGGCATAGACTGAAAGCCAAGCTGGGATAAGCAAGGAGTTGCTTTGTTCCTGGATGATATGAGATGGGCACCATCAAGCTTTTTGTTAAAATCAGTTATGTTGGAGATTATTCCAATAGCAAAGGTTCCTTTCTGCAACCTACCCCCTACTAATGAGTACACAGTGTTCTACTAAATGAATGTAGTTAGTTTATTTAGCTTAACTTCCATTGATGAACATTTGGTTAGTTTCTAAAATTTGAAGCAAATGTTTCTCAAACATTGATGCAATATTTATATGCATATATTATTTCACATATGCATGAGTATATACGTATGTTAAATTTCTAACATCAGATTCACTGGCTCAAAGAGAATGTGCATTTGTAATCTTGGAGGAAGTTCTCAAATTCCTACTCCTCTAAAGAAGGAGTATTAATTGACATTTCCATCAGCAGTACATGGGAGTGCCTATTTCTTCACACACATATGACACTGTGTTACCAAACGCTTGGATTTCTGTCAATCTGGTTGCGGAAAATAGTACGCAGTGCAAATTTAATTTGCATTTTCCTCATGAGAGTGAGACTGAGTATCTTTTAATGTGCTTTAGAGACATTTTGTATTTCTTTTTTATGAAATGTCTGTTGAGATACTTCTGCCTGATGTTCTTCTTGGTAGTTGATAAATTCTTATTTGTAAGAGCTCAATATAAAGGGTAATTAATTGGTCCTTTGATTTTGATGGCAGTTGCAAATATTTTTCTTCTTCCATTTTTATTTGGTCATTTGTCTCTTGTCACTGCACTTATAGGTTTTTTTCCCTATGCAGATCTTTTTAAATGTGACTGAATTTATCTTTCTTTCCTTCTGTGGTTTCTACATTTGAAACATTCTGAAGCTAGTGCTAGTTAAATACGGTGGATTTCCACCTTCAAGTTGCTCAATAAGCCAGTAGGAAAATCAAGAAAAGCACCTAATCAGTAGAAGTTACTATATAATCAATACTATGAGTTGGTACAACACGCTGTTTCTTCATCTGTCTATCCGTATGTCTAATCATCAATCTATTTGTCCATCTGTCCATTAACCCATTCACTTATCAAGCTTTTACTGAATTCTTTCTAAAAGCAAGAAAAGGTATATAGAGAGACGACATTTTGATAATGAAACCCGTGGGCTGGGATGACAGACATTCAGATCCGCTTCCCAGCTCTGATCTTACACAACTGTGTTCTTGGGCAGGTTACTTAATCTGTCCACATTTTTGTTTCTTATGTTATTTCATGAGATATGACAGACATGTAGATTGTGGAGGGGTCAAGGATTGAAGGTTAAAGATCAGATGTTGTAAGAAACGGCTTAGGAAGAGAACTATAAGTGAGTACACTGCCTAGATTTTTAATTTCAGGTGGTGAAATCTGAATCCTGACAAGGTCAAGAGAGTGGCCACTAGGGTGGGTGGCAAAAGTAAAGGTCCTTGGATGTGAGCAGGACAAGGAACTGAAAGGCCTTGGTGTTATATGATCATGTATATAGCTTTGAAATCACCAGGATCACGGTGATTTCATGGCCAGATGAGGGGGTACACATCTGAGCACAGGAGCTGCTGTCCCCGGTGGAGTGAGGGATGTGCCACCCTCCCAGCATGTGGCTGCACTCATCAACCTGGAATCTCTCCAAACTTCTTTGTTTAGGGTCTTACGGAGATTCCATGATTTAGGTATGATTGATTAAGTTACTGGCCATTGGTGATTAACCCAGTCCCTGGGCTCCTTTCCCCTCCCCAGAGGTCAAAGGTGAGAATGAAAGTTCCAACCCTCTAATCGCATGGTTGGTTTTTCTGACAACCAGCCCCCATTCTTCTTCAAAGAGTCACCTCATGAGCATAAACTCAGGTATGGTTGAAAGGGGCTTATTGTAAATAATAAAAGATAGGTTCATCGGAATGTAACTGTGTGGTAAGTTGAGCTGTATCTGGATTTAGTATGATTCAACTTAAAGTTCTTGACTTTACAATGGGTTTACTGGGGTATTGAGTACACTTTCAACTTGCAATATTTCTGACTTCAGTGAATTCATTGGGATGTGACCCCATCATAAGTTAAGGAGCATCTGTTCAAGGGTTTTAGGAGCTCTGTGCCAAGACTAATTGTATCTATTATTTTTTTTTTTTTTGTATTGCAATATCACGCAATCCCACAGCAAACAGTGAGAAAGTGGGATTGAGGGAGGAGGCTATGAAATGAGGTTTTCAACAAGCTTCTTGGACCCTTAAAAGTTTGAAGTGACAGCCCTTATCAGTGGCACCCCTTGGGGGATCCCCCAAACTCTATGCCTCCAGCCTGACTGGAGGGAATGTAGACAATGGGGTGGGCAGTTGATGTTCCAGCATCTTGAGTGGGTGCCATGATTCTGTGACACCTGGATCCTGAGGTTCCATAAGCTGGGGTTCTGGGATGTCCATTCTGAGTTGAGTCCTGTCATATCGACGTCAAAGGCCCAAGACCTTCCTCCTCCCCGTAAGCAAACAAGCCACGCCCTGCACCAGTCAACGTCCATCTCACCTTCCAGCAATCCTAGGTCATTTTCCTGGCAATGCAGTGTTTCTAGGAAAGAGTGAGTCTCTCCATGCCACCTGAGATTTACTGACATATGAACACATATAATTGGCACAATTTAAGAACCACTCACCTGCTGGCCATCTCTCCAGGTCTGGAGCCAGAGAAAATGATCTGAAGTTACAGCAGAAGAAATTGAGGTAGGATACTAAGAAAGCTTTTCAGGAGGGGGACTAGGCAAGAGGTGTAGCATGAGGGAATGAGAGTGAATGCTCGGTGTGAAAGGAAGTGGCAGGTGGGGTGGGGGCTTCCTTCTTTGGGTCATCTTTGGAGGTGATTTGACAGCAAGGAACAAAGTGGCTTCAAACATTCCACAAGTCTCTGGTCTGTTCTGTGTCCTGTTTTCTTTCTCATCCTTTCAGTGTGGAATCTATATGACCCTGGGAGAGATGTTGGTTAGGAGAATGACCAGCGGATGGGGGTGCTGCTGTCATGATTGGTGGTAGGAATGGGCAGCAGTGAGCCGTCTAGTGTGACAGTGTGGGAGAAAACAGTTCAAACTCCTACCAAATTTTCTCTACTGATGGCAAATCAGTGGAGATTCACATTGTAAGTTTATGGTGGTCTGGCTTTTGGCCATGACATTGACACCTTGCCCTTTTAACTTGGGCCTCATAAAAATATTCACATAAGGCTCTCAAGAGGAAAACAGGGTTAGTTATTGCATCACTTACTTCCTTTAGGTGTATGAAAAATAATTTCAAGTTTGACAAATACAAGGAAACTGCAGGGTCCATGTGAAAGCTGATAAGCTATTTCTGAAACTTGTGCAGAATTGTGGTTTGTGTGGTCTATGTCATGGCATCCTTGACGGGGAGCGGGCAATTGCCTGAAGTTAGAGGCTGTGTCCTGTTCTCCAGGCTGCTCCAGGGCTGCCTCCTTCCAACCGGGCCTTCTTATCTGGGACTATTGAGGCCACAGGCCTTCCGAAGACCAGTGAGGAAGGAGGCTCTGCAGACAAGAGGCAGGCAGGAGGCTGGCAGGGTGGGGACACGGCCATGATCCCTTTGCATAAGGACACCCAGGAGGAGGGTGTCTGCCCCATCTGCCAGGAGAGCCTGAAGGAGGCCATGAGCACCAAATGTGGACATCTCTTCTGTCGAGTGTGCCTGAAACAGCACGTGGAGAAGGCCTCAGCCTCCGGGGTCATCTGCTGCCCCCTCTGCCGGACGCCCTGTTCCGAGGAGGTGCTGGGAACAGGTTATATCTGCCTCAACCACCAGAAGAGGGTGTGCAGGTTCTGTGAGGAGAGTAGACTTCTTCTATGTGTGGAATGCCTGGTGTCCCCTGAACACACATCTCATCGTGAGCTGACCATCGAAAATGCCCTCAGTCACTACAAGGTAAGCCCCGGTCACCGTAGCCAGCCCTGTCCCCACCTCCCTGAGGTACAGCATCCTACGTGTTCATCATGCCTGGCACCTCAGAATAGCTCATCAACGGACACCTCTCTTTGTTTCTTCTGCTTCCTCCTATTTTGGACCCTTGTCTTTGCTTTTCTGCGCATATTTTGAGGCTGATGTTCCAATGCATCAATGTGAGTCTGTCTAAAAGAGAACACTGTCACTGTGATGTCAGGGTCCCAATATGCTCATCTGCAGAATGAAGCAATTGGACTAACTAACGCGAAACCCTTTCAGGACTAAGACTGTGGGGATTCCTGCTTGAGAATACTGGAAACTGGACCAGAAATGTAATCAGGTTTTATATACACTGGTAATTATCCTGCCGATACATTAAAACCTGAAAGTTAGTACATAATTTTTTCTTTCTTTCTCTTCCTTCCGCATTTGCCTTTTCTTTCCTTTTCCTTTCTTTGCCATGGTAATTATTTTTATCTTATTCCGTTAAATTTTCTATCACCAAGGTTACATGCTCTAGCTAATAAATTCAGAAAGCCCGGAAAGGTATAAAATCAAGACTAAAAATTTGTCTTCCTTTCTCCCACCATTCACAGTCCTCAGAGGTAACCATTGTCAGATTTTTGTACATCCTTCCAAAAAAATGTGAGTGTTTATAAATGCACTGTTAAAACACACACACACACACACACACACACACGCACATACTCAAAGGATTCTCTATTTTTTTCTGTAACTCACTTTCATTATCTGAAAGTATGCGGACATTTTCCCATCAGCATGTATAGATCTTCTGAATTCTTTTCAACAACTGTGTGATATTGAATTCTATGAATGTACCATAAATTGGCAGACACTGGGTTATTTCCAAACTATTGTTTTGTTTTAAGATTACACAGAATGGCCGGGTGCAGTGGCTCACGCCTGTAATCCCAGCACTTTGGGAGGCCGAGGCAGGCGGATCACAAGGTTAAGAGATTGAGACCATCGTGGCCAACATGGTAAAACCCTGTCTCTACTAAAAATACAAAAAAAAAAAAAAGTATCCAGGCATGGTGGCACTTGCCTATGGTCCCAGCTTCTAGGGAGGCTGAGGCGGAAGAATCGCTTGAACCCAGGAGGCAGAGGTTGCAGTGAGCCGAGATTGCGCCACTGCACTCCAGCCTGGTGACAGAGCATGACTCCGTCTCAAAAAAAAAAAAAAAATGCAGAATGTTCTAATGAATATCCTTCAACATATATATTGGAGGATATAGACTATCCAAGATATATTTCAGTGATAGCATAAGATAGGAGTCTAACTTTAGTTTTTCCAAGTTATAATCATTTGTCCTATCACTATTTATTGAATGATTCATATAGTTTCCCCACTGATTTCAATGCCAATGTTATAATACACCATATGTGCATATTTTATTGCATATTTTCTTGATTCTCTGTTTTGTTCTATTCTGTCTATGCTTGTCTATAAGCCAAAGTATTTTAGGCACTTTACACATACAGTAAGTTTTAATGTCAGGTATTTTGATAGAACCCTCGCAATACTCTTATTTTTCAGAATTTGTGCAGATACTTGTATATCTTTATTTTGCCAATTAGCTTTAGAATTTTTTATCAACCTTTCCCCTGACCCCAATCCAGTTAGAATTTGACTGGACGATGGACAATATTTTCACATGGTGTCCTTTTATCCAATAGTGAAGGCTGAATTTCCAAAATCATCTTTGAGATACTTGGCTTTTAGAGAACATGTTATTATACAAAATAAGAAAGTGGGAAGTCCATATGGGAAATGACTGTGGGAAGGTAGAGAAATCATTCAAAAACCCAGTTTTCGAATTTTTTAAAAATTATTTTGCAAAGTTCTACTTGGTTCTAACATCATTTCCTGTAGGCACACTGTCCACAGAGAGTGGGGTGGGGGATTTCTCACCTGACGATGAGACAGCATAAGATGGAGAAATGTATTCCCCTCCCTAAATGATTAATTCAGGTCTGTACTTTGTGTTAGGTGTCATGCTGGGCATTGCAGGAAGTACAAAGATGATTCATAATTCTTGTTTCAAATCTGACTTTAAATAATGACAAAAAACCTAAAACAAATAAATAATGATGACATTTGTTCATTAAGTAAAAACTTATTAAGTTCCTGCTGTGTGTGAGAAATTGCAGTATATGCCAGGAATCAATGAAGACAGATACCATTCCTTCCACCAGGAGTTTGCAGTTTATTAAGGGAGACACAAATAAGTAATCAAAGAACTGTAACTTTTTTTTTGTTTTTGTTTTGTTTTTGTTTTTTGTTTTTGTTTTTTTTTTTTTTTTTTTTTTTTGAGACGGAGTTTCCCTCTTGTTGCCCAGGCTGGAGTGCAATGGCGCGATCTCGGCTCACCGCAACCTCCGCCTCCTGGGTTCAGGCAATTCTCCTGCCTCAGCCTCCTGAGTAGCTGGGATTACAGGCACACGCCACCATGCCCAGCTAATTTTTGTATTTTTAGTAGAGACGGGGTTTCACCATGTTGACCAGGATGGTCTCGATCTCTTGACCTCGTGATCCACCCGCCTCGGCCTCCCAAAGTGCTGGGATTACAGGCTTGAGCCACCGCACCCGGCCTCAGAACTGTAACATTTTATTAGTTAGGAATAAAATAAGCAAGGGTCTGGGATGGACAGTAATGGGCGACCCATGTCCATGTGGTCAGTGAGGGCCTCATAGAGGAAGTGTCATTGAAGCTGAGGGCTGGAAGAAGAGAAATTGACCAGTGCAAAGACTGAGCAGCAGGGAGTGCATGCAGATGCACATGCCTGGGAATTTATATTTGAAGAATTTATCATTAGAGTTTGAGTCGACAGGACTTACTGATAGATTAGAAGTGAATTGAAGGAAGGAGGAGGGTCAAAGACAACTTCATGAGTTTCTGGTTTGAGAAACTGAGTGGATGATGTGAAAGATAAGAACTTGGTAGAACAGGTTTGAATGCAACATCAAGAGTTTCATTCAAGACAAATTGAGTCCAAGTTGAGACACATGAAAATAGGATCTTAGATATGCAACTGGATCACAAAGCTGTATCTCCACAGTCATATTCCTAGAACCTAGAACAAAGATCCATCAGGACAAAGACAATATTTAAATCCAAGGAAAGTGGGCACAGTGGCTTATACCTATAATCACAGCACTTTGGGAGGCTGAAATGGAAGGATCTCTTGAGCCCAGGAACTCAAGACAAGCTTAGGCAACAGCGTGAGACACTGTCTCTGCAAAAACAACAATGAAGTGAAATTAGCAGAATTTTTTTTTTAAAGGACTTGACAATTTGGGGCTGGGTGCAATGGCTCATGCCTGTAGTCTCAGCTACTTGGAAGGCTGAGGATTGCTGGAGCCCAGGAGAGTGAGGCTGGAGTGAGCTGTGACTTTACCACTGCACTGCACCCAGGATGACAGAGCAAGACCTTGTCTCAAATAAAGAAACAGACAACCAAGAAACCAAGGAATTGATGTAATAGCCTCAAAAGAGGCTAGACAGAAAAGAAGTTTCAGGGTAAGGCTCTGGGAAAGGCCGTCATTTAGATGTAGGTAGAGGAGAACCAGCAAAGAAGACGTAGGATGAGTTGCCACAAAGGCAGAAGAAAAACAAGGGTAATGGAGCCCCAATTGCTAAGAGAGAAGGGTATTTTAAGAGATGACAATAGATTGCATTGAACTATGCTAATACTTCAGTAAGGTGGTGGCAGAGGCATGGGAGCTGGGTTGAGAGGAGGCACACTTCTTCCATAGTAATAATAGGGAACAAGAGAAGGTGTCTGCAAGTGTAGTTTTGCAGTTTTGGAAATGCAGGTTTTGTTCTGGTTTTTATTTTCTCAGTAGGAAGGAAAGAAGGAGCATCAGCAGTATGGGTGAGGTCAGGATGGATGTGAAAGGTTTGAAAAGAAAGTTGGTGTGATGTAGTGTGGGAGAGTGAACTCACATGAGAAACTATGTAGGGTTAGCAGACAGTATGGAGCACCAACTTGAGGTCTGAAATGTTTAACATATTTCAGGAGGCTGCCTGAGGACAGACAGCCAACAAGAAGTGATGATACATTTTACCAAGGATAAGGAGTTGTCCAAAAAGTAATAGAGAGGGAGGGTTAGGGAGCTGAGGGTATTTCTGAAGAAGTGATTGTAATGGTGGACCCTGTGTGTACTCATGGATATTGATAGTATACTTTTGAAATCAAGGAGTTTTTTTAACTGATTTTTTCACCGTATCTCTATTTATTTAAAATAAACTTTGTAGATTAAGTATTACAAATTATGTTATTTAAAAAATCATATACTCTAAAAAGATTGAAAAATTTATAAAACCTACAAATTCTTATTTGCATACCTGTTTCCTCACTGCCCAACCAATGCCAGTGTCAATCACTTATGTATTTTGCTGATTTAGTGAGTGATGGTGATGTACATTGTTTTACTTTGCTTGATTATGAATGCTACTGGTGAGGCTTTTATCCCTGAAGACTCGATGTCTGCATTTTCCCTTAGAATCAGGGCATAAATTCTACATGACTGCATCAAAGTCGTTTATCTTTTGGTTAATGGACTACATTCGTTGTGTTTAACCTACACTTTGTTTTTTTTGAGGCGGAGTCTTGCTCTGTCACCCAGACTGGAGTACAGTGGCGAGATCTCAGCTCACTGCAACCTCTACCTTCCCAGTTCAAGCGATTCTCCTGCCTCAGTCTCCCAAGTAGCTGGAACCACAGGCACGAGCCACCACGCCTGGCTAATTTTTTGTATTTTTAGTAGAGACAGGATTTCACCATGTTAGCCAGGACGGTCTCGATCTCCTGATCTCGTGATCCTCCTGGCTCGGCCTTCCAAAGTGCTGGGATTACAGGCTGGAGCCACCATGCTCAGTCTTTTAACATGCATTTTAAAAATTCTGTTATTTCTTCTTAATTACATTTTTGGGCAAAACTTTAGAAAATTGTATTTAAATTGTTTGTATTCTTTTTTACAATATAATCTTCATGTTCTAACTACACAGAAATTTGTTGTCTAATATGAGTGTGCTGCTCTGTTTTATTTTTAAAGGTTTATTCATTCCTAGCTTACTTGGAATTTTATATAGTATGTTGTGTGAAGGATGACTCCATGTTAATTTTTCTTCATTCTGGTATCCAGTTGTCCCCAAAGCATTTCTATAAAAGTGAGTTCTTTCCACATTTACGTATTGTTTCTCGCTTGGCATAAATTAAGTTCTTATGATGGGCTTTTTTTTTTTAACTCTAGTCCATTGATTATTCTTTCTGTTATTATGATATGATTATTTGAAACATGTTACTTGACGGTTTATTTTTAAATCTAGCAGCATTTTTGCCATTTAACAATTTTTATTACCTTATATTTTTGCTAACTGTTCATTAAGATGAGTGCTTTTTTCCAATGTTTCTAAATTTTACAGAGCATTCCCTAAGAGTTTAATGGTTATTGCATTAAATTTGTTGATTACTTTAAAAATAATAACTTTTGGTATTTATTTAGTTTTCTCAACCAGTACCAAGATATATCACTGAAAGCTTTCCACTATGTATTTGAATCAGATACTAAATTTTCTCTACTTAAACCTCATGTGCCCTGACTCTATTGAGGATAGCTATATATTTTATAACATTATTTTTTTGACAATTTGTATGCTTGAAGATTCAAATGAGGTTTTTTGTTGAACTCATGTATTTACTCATGCATTTTAAAAAATTTTTCCGACATCTTCTAGATCATAATCATATGAATGATATTTTACATCCACATTTTGGGACTCAGTTCTATAAGGAGCATGCATTTTGAAAGCTGTTAATCTTTCTCTTTTTTCCCCCCTAGTATCAGGGATAGGTACTTCTTGTCTGTTTAATGCCCTTTTTTTTGGTCAGATTTTTAAAATTTAATGATTTAATCTGAATGTCTGACAGAATTTTAAAATATTCATTTAGATAAGACAGGCCTTTGACTATTTTCTAGATTTCAATTTCTTTTTTTCGCTAAGGAATATTTTGGTAGGTGGAAGTGTATAGAATTTGGTTTTTCAATTCTAATGAGTGTCCTATTTATATGCTCTGCACCCATTAAATATTTTAATGCCAAAATTGGTGAAAAAGCATTTTTTAGAAACAGAGGACTTTACCTTACTCATTTTGAATATTGTAAGTGATATGAATGTATTCTCTTCAGTTGTTCTGTGCTTTTATCTTTATTGCTGTTATCTTTGCCTTCTTTTTTCATTTACACAGTGCCTGTAGTTGACTTTATTAAATCTTAAACTGCCAGATAATAGGACTGTGGCTTTTTGAACTGGACCTTAACAGGTCTGAATTTGACAGGCAGAAACATAAAGCATTCTGGCAGAGGGAAGTAAAAGGCCATGAGGAGGTGTGGCCGTACACATGTGTTCAGGAAGCAGAAAGCAATGTTGTGTGCTGGTGAAGAGGGCAAGGAGGGAGAAGAGAGAGAATCCCGGACAGTGTCCACTGGGGCTGGGTCCCAGGGTGCCTTGGATGCTGGGTGAGGGAGTTTGGGCTTATCTTTGTTGATGAGAAGCCATTTTGAAGGGAGGAGTAACATCAACGAAGGTGAAATATGACCTTTTAAGGTCATATTTATGAGATTTTAAAATATGAGATTTTAAGCTGAATGGCAGGCACAATGGCAGTTCCAATGCCAGAAATATGAAGGTCAAGAGGGGTGGACTGCAGAAGAGGGTGGGAAAGGGGGCAGCATGTTTGATTTGACAGTATCGATTTTGAGCTGCCAACAGGGCAGTAGGCAATACTTAGCTCTCAGTTGGAAGCATGAGACGGACTGCTAGGAAGAAAGTTTTGGTTTTGGAATTATAAGATCTGAAGCCTCCAGAAAAGAATGCTAAGGACATAGTTTGAGATAGAAAAGGGTTGAGGAGCCAATTTCAAGGCCTCTTTTTACAGGAAAAATGAAGAGGCGAAGAAGCAGTGGCAGAAGGCACAGGTCTAGGAAGGATGGGGGTGGAGAGGTGGTCCAAAAAGGCGCCTGCAGATTTCGTGGCTGGAGATCCCAGGTGACATTGGAGAGACATGCTTGAAAGGAGTGATGAGAAACAAGGCGGCTGGCTGAGGAATGATGGCAGGGAGGACGTGAACAGAGCAAGACCGGAAGACTTGACTGTGAGGACAGAAAGAGAGTAGATGCAGGGGTGGAGACTGTTGGTGCTTTTCAGGACCTGGACTCTTGTGCTCACACAAACAATTCCACACCAACCCAGCCTGCCACCTTCTTCAGCGAGACCCGTGAGCCACATCCATGTTGCCCATTTATTACCTCCCACTCCCATCACTTTTTATTCCTCCTCTGCTGAGAAATGCCTGCAGGTAACACCCAGTGATATGACACATTTTTAGTAACTTCGTGGTGACATCACTGGCTTCTCTGCTTACTGCAACTTTTTGTTTGCCAAATGCCCTTGTTTACCGCTCATACACACAGTCCTTTGACCTTGATTTCTCCAGCAAAGTCTCAGGCCGGAAAGAACTTCCAGTTCTCTTCTCCATCCCTCGACTTCTACCTGTACATCAACAAAATCTCCTTGAAAAAGATTCTTTTAAAAATTCCGAAGTGGGAAAGATTTAGTGAAACACACGCTTTCCAGCTAACTGCATCCTGCTCTTTAGTTCACAAATCTGTTTCTCGTTTTGTTTTCCATTTTATCATCTACCCTCCAACCACCTCCCTGAACCATGGGCAGCCATTTAAAGCATTTGCTGTTATTTTTGCTTCTCTTATAGGTCATCAAAAACCTGAAAGCAAAATTTTTTAGAAACTCAAATCATTCATTATCTTCATAGCTTGAAGGACACAGTGACCTCTCCAGATACTGATTTAAGATTGAGGGAGAATACACTGCCGGCCTCGGCTACGGGTTTACACCTAGTAAAGGGCTCTGCCTGTCATTCATCGTAGTGAGGATCAGGGAGCAGTGGTAGCAGAGGCTTGCTATCTCTTTTTTTTTTTTTTTTTTTTTTTTGAGACAGAGTTTTGCTCTTGTTCCCCAGTCTGGAGTGTGGAATGCAATGGCACAATCCTGGCTCACTGCAACGTCCGCCTCCCTGGTTTGAAAAACTACCCTGCATCAGCCTAGCTGGGATACTACTACTAATTTTTTTTTTTTTTTTTTTTTTTTTTTTTTTTTTTTTTTTTTAGTAAAGATGGGGTTTCACCATCTTGGGCAGACTCTGGTCTTGACTCTTGACTTCGTGATCCATCTGCCTCAGCCTCCCAAAGTGCTGGGATCACAGACGTGAGCCACCACATCCGGCCACCATCTCCTCTTTAAGGAAGTTCTCTCCCTACTGGCTTTACTTGTTAATGCAAAATAGTAAGAAGTGCTAGAAGACTGTCATATAACTTTCATATGTTGAGAGAAAGCACCTTGAAGTCAAGTAGAAATGGTTCTGTTGCTAGTAGTAATAAGACTATTAAAAAAATACCCATTGCTTTTTTCCCCACCATTATCCAATAAATAAACTCTCAAGTTCCTTACTCCAATCATGATTCTCCAAAAGCATTTCTTTGTAGGCAGAATTTTACATCAGTTTCATCCTGAGATCGGGCTTCCTTCCGTGTTCCATTGACTCTCCCCAGGGGTTGCCCCCCTCACTCCCAGTCTGACAAGCAGGTGTCTGTCTCTTTAGGAACGACTCAACCGCCGGAGCAGGAAGCTCAGAAAAGACATCGCTGAACTTCAGCGGCTCAAGGATCAGGAGGAGGAGAAACTGCAGGCTCCGCTGGTGGGTTTTTCAGATTCCTGGGAAGAACGACCTGGAGTGTTCTCAGGGCCCTTACTTACTGTTCTGCACATCTGTTTGTCCCTGGAGCAGCCTGATGTGGGCAGATGGTCATGGAGGCTGAACCCTGGGTGTTGGTCTTGGCATCAAGATTTGCTAAGTAAGTGGCAGGTTAAGCCCTCTGATTTTTTTTTTTTTTTTTTTTTTTTTTTTTTTGAGACAGAGTCTTAGAGTCTCGCTCTGTCACCCAGGCTGGAGCACAGTAGTGTGATCTTGGCTCACTGCAACCTCTGCCTCCTGGATTCAAGCAATTCTCCTGCCTCAGCCTCCTGAGTAGCTGGGACTACAGGCGCCTGCCACCGCACTGCCTGATTTTTGTATTTTTAGTAGAAATGAGGTTTCACCATCTTGGCCAGGCTTGTCTTGAACTCCTGACTTCGAGATCCACCTGCCTCGACCTCCCAAAGTGCTGGGATTACAGGTGTGAGCCACCATGCCCTGCCATCTAAGCCCTCTGATCTTTATGTGATTTATATGTTAAATGATAACCAGTCTTGCTCTAGCCGGCTCACAGTAAGGATCAAAGACCAGTATCTCATCCACTGAAAATTACCACACAAACCATAGGCCTCTGTTTCTGTCTCTGACAGTCTACCTTTCCATCCCGTCACATGGCATCTGTAGATGTTCAGTGTGAAGCAGAAAGGGGAGATGTCCCTACCTTTATGAGATCCACAGCTGCCTCTGCAGTACCTGTGACACACAGCGGAAACACTATAAGGGGAAGAGGGTTGAGGAATCAGCATTCCTGCTCAGATACTCAGACTGTGAAGGGCCAGGAGGGAGCCACCTGACATTGAGTCTTAGGGAGCCCCTTTCCTGTAGTTTCAGGTAGACCATCAGAACCACAGGCTGCAGGCTAAGCTGGAGAGCCAGCACCAAACTAGGGAACAGCTGGATGCCCTCCCTCAGCAGCGGCCGGGCCAGCTGGAGCACATGCCAACGGAAGTGGCCAGAATCTCCAAAGCAGTAACTGAGCTCAGCAGCCTGGTCATTGATCTGGAGAGGATGGCCAAGGAGTTAGACACCAACACCCTGAAGGTGCATACCCTGAGGCCTCCCCAAGGACTGGGATTCTCCCCGATAGTAGGCAACCCATGGGCATCCCCCTTCTGGGAGGTGTAAGAAGGAGGGGCCCGTGGGATACGTGGTGATTTGTGGTAGACAATGCTTGTTCCAGGCTACAGAGTGCTGCCGCAGCAGAATGGGTACAGAAGAGGGGTGTTGCTATGCTCCCCCAGTTCTCAAGGTGGGACCCCAGAGTGGCCTCTAAGAGTGAATTGGGAAAGGAATTTGGAAGTGAATGGAACCTGAGAACCGATTATGATTCTCACATTTTCTCTCTCCTAGAATGCCGGTGACTTACTGAACAGGTATGGGCTGTCCCTTCTTCTCTCCCACACATGCATATAAACCCACACAACATAGGCATGCACAGGGGTTCATCAAGGTCAAGGAGACCCACTGCTCTGTTAGCTTTTGTATCTTCATGCTACATGGCCACTTGACTATATGAATATATATTAATCTATGAAGGATTTTTGTTTCTAGGAGTGCTCCGCAGAAACTAGAGGTTATTTATCCCCAGTTGGGGAAAAGAGTCAATGAATTGCTTCTTCAGCCATCCTCAGAAGCTCTGACCTGTTCATCTCTGGGACACCTCACTTCAGGCTCACCTCAGCCTCCTCTTTCTCCTTCCTCCAACCTGTCCAGGCCCCCATTAGGTCTACCCAGTGCATCTTCAGGCCTGCCAGCTCCTGAACATGTCCCCGTTTCCACATGCCCACAGTCATCACCTGATGCCTGACACTCTGACTCTTGGATGACAGCCAGCCTCCTTCCAGGACAGGCTGATGCTTGTGGCTGCCAGTGCAGAGGTCAGGGTCCACGGTCTCCAGGACTATTTTTGAGATCTCCGTTTGCCTGTGAACTGATGGTAGTGCCCTTCTTTCGCTATCTCATTCAAGTAGGATCCTCCAAGGATCTGGATGACCCGAGCTCACCAGTGATGACCGCATCTCACATATGGAGCCCAGCTGAGCTCCTGCAGTACTTATTGTATGTACCACTTGCCTGGCATTTATTCATTATTGTTGTGGAAGATAAACTCAAAGACAGCCCCCCTTGGTGATCCTCACCTCTTGGTATTAATGCCCTTGTGTGGTACCCTTTCCTTGAATGTGAGTGGGATCTGTGACTTGTTTCTAATCAATGGAATATGGCAAAGGTGATAGAGTGTCACTCTGGTAACTGTGTTCATTGTATAAGACTCCTCCTCGTTGGCCGATGCACTTGGAGCCCCTCCTAGGAGCCAAGAGCAGCCTCCAGCCAACAAGAAGCAGAGGCCCTCCGTCTTGTGGCTGCAAGAACTTGAATTCTGCCAACAACCTGAGTGACCTTGGAAGCAGATTCTTCCCCAGCTGAGCCAGATGAGAACCCAGTTCAGCCAACACCTTGATAACAGTCTTGTGAGTCCCTAAGCTGAGGACCCAGCAAAGCTGTGCCAAAATTTCTGACTCACAGAAACTGTGAGACAAAAACTGTATATGGTTTGAAGGCAGTAAATTTGTGGCAATTTTTACGGAGCCGTGGATAATGAATACAACTATATATTAGTCATTCATGCATAAGCCTCACTTTTTTGGGTGAGCAGGGACCATACTGTCTGTGTCCTCCTGTCTAGAACAGTGCCTGGCTCACAGTTGGTGTTCAATAAAATTTTAAATGTATGTATAAACGAATTAATTAGAAAGCAAAAGGGCCCTTCTTAATCCTCTGTTTAAAAGGAGCCATCAATTACCATTTAATTGTATCTTTTGAGCCCCCAATGAAGTAGTCAATACCATACTGTGAGGTATAAGGAATAAAACATGGCCACAAGAACAAAACAAGCCATGTGGTGGTGCAAAGAGTAAAAACTACGGAGTCAGACTTGAGTTTAGGTCTTGGTCCTGACAACTAATTCCTCTGTAACCTTGGGAAAGAACACCCCTGAAGTGACAACTAGCAGTTCCTGCATCCCAGCTGAAGCTAATGTCACCAACAGAACTTGTACCAGGAGTGGGAGGAGAATGGCAGCCCACAGGGTCCCTCCACAGGAGAGAAGTTCATTATACTGAAGACGCCTGCCAGGCCCCCCCATGGCTCCGTCTGACATGACCACAGATGATCCGGCCAGGGGTGGGTGTCTCAACAGCAGATGGTTGGCCAGTCAAGTCTCTGAGGTCACCTGTCAAGAAAGGCCTTATCAAAGAGGGACAATAGTAATTAACTGAAACCATCAGGTCCTCTCAGAGATTCAGAAGGGATCCATGGTGAATGTGTCATCCATCAGTTGGCAAGAAGAGCAGACATGGAGAATCAGAGCTGCATGCACAGCCGCCCTGGATTGGAGCAGGTGTCCACCACCCATGCTGCTGAGAGGCCGCGGGAAGACCCAGTCTTCACACTGCCTTGGACCTCGGGCCCCCTTCTTACCAGTAGGTCTTGGGCACCCAACATACCACTGCATGATGGTCATGAGCATAGACTCAGGAGCCAAAGCACCAGAATTCAAATGCTGGCTCAGCTACTTACTATCAGCTGATTTGAGACCAGCTGCTCGACCTTCACGTCTCAGTTCTCTTAAGTACAAATGGGGATATTAATAACAGCACCTACCTCCCAGGGTAGTTGTAAGGATTAAACGAGATAATATATTACAAATATTTATTATGGGGTTTGGCCAAAATGAGTTCTATGTACGCTATTGTTATCAACATTTTTTGACTCTCTAGTTCTTCCCACAGGAAGGAGTGGTGACCCCACCAACTCACTCACCCCTGACATAGCTTCTCATGAGGCCTGGCTCATGATGGAAAATCCCATTTTCCTTATTTCTGTGCCTGTTCTTATAATAAACTTACCTATTATTAGAACTAACTTGAGTGGATCTCACTTCTTTGCAATAGAAAGGGTTGCTACCACGGAAGCTGTGAAAAATGAGGTGTAAACCGTGGATGTTACAAGTGTGCAATAGCCCTTCAGAGTCAGAAAGGGCAACTGGGACTCAGGGGCCTCTAGACTTGAGCACTTCCTGGGGGGGAACCCAGAGTTCCACGTCCGGCCAGCAGAGCAAGGAGGTTTCGTTAAGCTACCTTATCTTGAAGTTACCAGGTTTTAGGATGTATCCACTTCTCCTGTGCTGACTGCATACTCCAAAAGCAAGTAAACTCCAAGTGAAATTACCCTAGGGGAGAAGCAGGTGCTGACAGACCAACATGAGTGTTTTCGCTTATGAGCAGTTTTATTCCTCAGTGTGAGACATAGAAATTATTTTCACTGCCATGTAACTATTGAAAGAAAAAGAAGAGAATTTTAAAAGAAGAAATATAAATTGTATTTCTGAATCCAAGTCACTTGTGGGGTGTAGCCAGCATTAAAATAATCACTAGGACCCATGCAGGCATCTGTCTCTGAGTGAGGCGGTGCAGCACAGCGGTTAAGAGCCCTTGGGTCAGACACGGATTAACTGGTTGCATGATCTTGGCTAGCTACCAAGATAGAGTGACACAGGTGTGTAAAGCTCCCCAGCAGCAAGCCAGGATCTTTATACATATACATTTTAGAGGGTAACAGTCCATTTAAAAAACACAGCTAAAGCCAACAAAAATGAACAGAAAAATAGGATCTACTTTTTAGTGGAATCACAGGTTTGGGTGCTTTGGATATGCTTTATCATTATATAGGCACTTGTGTGTGTCTATATTTTTTTAAATATACAACATTTTAATGAGATACTGCACACTCCCAGGGAAAGCAATTCAATCTCTAATCCCTGGCTTCCGATCATATCTTTTCTACCTGCTGAGCTAAGGATGAACAGTGGAACTTCTCAGTTGAATTCTAAGGTTGGGCTTAAGCACCCTGTGCCCTCCGCCTTTGAGATTGCACCCTGATGGCCCCCCCTCCTCCCAGAAGACCTAGTAGGGAGATGATAGAGTGGTGTAGTTTACATCTGAGCAGAGAAAACAGAGACGATGTTAAAAGGACTGTCAGTCAAGGGCATGATTATGCAAAATGAAATACAATACAGAATGAACTAGAAAATAAAACATAGTCACTCTTCCATCCCATTTCTCAAATGTCACTACAATAGTCTCCACTCTTTAGGCTAAAGGGCACAGGTCATTCAACTTATGCCCTGGCCTCCTTCTGGGATTCTTTTACCTAGTAATTTCTGAGCCCACAGCTGAGCTATTTGTGACCCATTTGCTTCCACTATCTCATTTCTTGACCTCATTGGTAATCAGCTGATCAGGAAGACAATTTCCCCAGGGGTGGAGTGTGGTCCTTGAGTTATGATTTATGACTATCCCTTATGTCTCCCTGTCCCAAAGTCCTGCACCTTCACCTCAGCCAGGAGGGGCACCACCAGGAGGAAGGAGGCAGTGAGTGTTATCGGCTGGGGATGACACACATCTGCCCATGAGGACAATGGAGATGCCCCAGTGCTCCACGGGTCACAGGTCATCCAGCCAGTTCTCTGCTGTTTCCTCTTCTTAAGATGCTTCTTCTCCTCTTTTCCTTATTGACCATAGGCATCCTTTAGACCACCCCTTTCAGAAAGCAATCCCCCACTCACTCTCTCCCTCCAGGCTGAGCTACGCCCCTTCCTCTGAGCTTCCACGATGCTGGGGTTGGAGCTCCCATAGCACCCGCCACACTGTGCTGTAATTTCCTCTTTATGTTTCTCTGTCTTCCCAAGAGCTCTTTCAGATACAGAACAGGTTTTGTGTTGCTTCTTTTTCTATATATTTTCAAATCATCAGTGGCTACCACACTGCTTGGTTCATGCTTAACACAAAATAAATGTTTCTAGAGAATGTGATTACATGAACCCTAATATCATTGGAAGAAAACAAGATGAAAAGAAGTGATGTCTTGCTTAAAGTCAAACAACTGGTTACAAGGCTGGTTTAAGAACCCAGGTCTTCTGACTCTAAATCCAGTGCTCTTTCTATGCAGCTACTTCTGTGCCTGGCAACGATGGTGGTGAGGAGAGCCGGCAGCAGCCTGAGTCCCCAGGTACCCTGGCCATCCACTGGGCATTGGGGAAAGGTCTTGATCAGTAGATTGAGTGTCCTCTGCTCTGTCCCTTACCAACCGGCCCCATCCCATCTTCTAAAGCAGTAGTTTCTATTCAAGTTCTCCAGATGACCCAGCCAGGGATTAAGTCCATGTGGTACTTGAGTTGATTTGAATCCCGTACGTAGGGCAGGGTAGGTAACTTCACCTTCTCAGGAGCTCAGGGAGAAACTGGACCCTCGGCCCCAGAGCCCAAAGAAGGGAATGACCTTCCTAGTGAAGGAGGCAGTGAAGGTGTAGATGGGCTCTCGGGTGACAGCGTTGGTGAAGGTCACCCACCCCACCTCGTAGTCAAGAGACACCCGCACCTGCCGGGGCTGCTCCTTCAGGGCCAGCCGTGTGGGGAAGGAGCCCAGAGCGGAGATGAAGCCCCAGGCCAGCCTCACAGCCCACACTCCCTCCTCTGGCCGCAGCCGAAGCTCCCCCTTCCGCTGCACTTCCTCGCTCACCACGCCCACCGTGCAGCTGCCCCCGTGGGCCAGGTCTATACTCACCACCCACGTGTGTCTCCCCCCTGTGATGCCAGCATGTGCCAGAACACAGGTGGCCCGGTCAAAACGCTGGGGGTTGTCTGGCGAGTTCTGCCATTTGTAGGAGAACTGAGCCCGCTGGCCGTCCTCGGACAAGAGCAGCTTGGGGTGGGAAGTCTGAGGGTCTAGAGAAACGTGAGCTGTGGGGATAACCAAAAGGGACAGGTGTCAGCAGACATGCTATTACCTCCAAGGAAGCCCTAGAAACTTCCCCTGGGACCCACCCATTAGTGTTATTATTACCAAAACCATATACAGTCTCTACGTGGACCAACAGTGTGGCCTCACCTGGGAACTTGTTAGATATACACTGTCAGAATCTGCATCCTAACAAAATGCCCGGGTGATTCGTGCACATGGAAAGCCTGAGAAGCCTGCCTCAGAGGATGCAACAGCTCTCATTTAGTTCCATGTGGTCCTCGGGAAAGCTCTTCTGCTCACCGCGAATTGATTGGCTTCCAAAGTTGCATGTGCCTGCTCGGATCTCCTGCTGCTGATACACCACATTCTCTGCTCTTCCCATGTCTATCCCGGAGGGCAGAGACATCTCTCCCTTCAGTCCAATCTTCATGATTCCTCCCTGCTTTCCTCGCAGAGCACTTGTGACTCATTTACAGTCTTCCCTCCTTCCAGGCTCTCTGGCTCTCCCCCGGGTTATTCACTCTGCCTCAGTAATTCTAAAACTGTCCCAGTCTGAGGACCACATTTTAACACCAATGACTTCTGCAGAGCCTTGCATTTTGTTACTTTAGTCGAGAAGCTTCTGTAAATTCAGATCCATCCATGGGTTACAGAACCCCCTCCAACAACTCCATAACTCCCAGGTCTTAGGCTGGTTGGTTGAGAAACAACAGCCTTGCAGGGTCCATTCTGTTCATTTCTTTCCAACCCACAGGC